ACATTCAATGGACATAATATTTTTTTCATTGGAAGAAGATATAAAAATACTATGAATATACCATTTCTTTTTTATATATCTTTAATTAATTAATTAATTAATGTGTTGCTGAGGATTGAACCCAGTGMCTCATGCRTGCAGGGCAAGCGCTTAACCACTGAGTCATAACGCCAGCCCTTGATTATRCCATTTCCTAAACAAAGATGTTAGTTATTGAACAAGATAGTCACAGGGGACCTTATTTTCCTAATGGGTTTTATAGAATGGCAAGCCATATACCCCATGGTTGAAACCTCTTGTAAGTGACCCATGTCCTCACTTAGGCTGGTTCAGGACACGTGGCTGTGGTGGTTAGGGAGGAGAAGGCCCTTCTGAATCCTGAGACTGAACAGGATGTGGTTCTCCAGTAAAAGCTTCAATGGATCTTGTTCTGCTTTCTCYCCAGGAGGACACAGCTACCATCTCCTTGGGCATGTTGTGATTGGCAAACACTGACTGTTCCTAAGTGCCCAGCAAGTTTTGTTTGGCATCTACGAACTACAACACACTAGTCATGACAACGCTTTATGATGACTTTTACATTCATGATTCTGTCAAACACTTGCTGAGTAGTTGCTGGCAGTCATCGATGGTTTTACTGATGTGTCCCCTGAGGCCACTGAGATTCCAGGAAATTCTCCTTTATGTGACCTCCTTCATATTCCTTCAAAAATGAATGGGTTTCTTTYACAAAGACCTTAGGCCAGAGGGACTTCATAGAGGTGGGTACAGTTATCTGTCCAAASTAAGAAGTGGTTCTTGAAGGAAGTGGACATAATGCTTGGGAGAACAGAGACAGGACCCGAGGCGGCAGGCTGACCACAGCCTAACCCTGCCAAGTCTGCTCTGCAGAAGTGTTTATTTGGCTCATATTTTTCTTTAAAAACATTTYGACAGTTTTCAAGCTGCAAAACTGAGAATTACTTTGAAAAGGCTGGGTATATGTTTTATCTTTATTTGGCCAGCTGGGGTCCTTAKTTTTGCATTGGTGACCCTCAGTGGAGCTGAGAGCTGCTCCCTTCTGGAGGGATGAAGGCTTTCCATGCTCTCCCCATCTCTAATCTCGTGCATTTCTTCAAGGCATCTCTGTGATCCCAGGAGCTTCTGAGATTGAGAGTAAAAGGCTTAGTGAGGAGGAAGGRTATGGTCGTTCACATGAAATCCCGTGATCTCTGATGAACAGACAAGAGAGGAGCTGGTCACCTTTATAGTCAGGAGACAGRGGAATGATGGAAACCACCTGATACAGAGGGTGTGGTGCTGTTTCTCTTCTGATAGTTCTTGGCTGACTCTTTCTGTGCTGGGCAGGGGTCAAATAGCATTTGAGTTGTCTGGAAGGAAATGCTCTGAATGGCAAGAGTCAATCCTTAAGTGTCAAATCTCACTGCCACCCTGGGATAGCCCCTCATTAGTTCCTGGGCTATCTCTGATCTCCCTTTGAATTTTGAGAACAAGAATAAAGTGATCTGAACACAACAYGTTTCTGGTTAGCATTTTCAACACACTTGAAATACGAAGAATACTTCCATGCCATCTAGCTTTGCACAGCTGCACAGAAAAGATTGTTTATCATTTTTCTTTGTATTTTGTCTTTTGGGGGGGAACTTTTAGGAAACTCGTGAWCATTCTTTGGAAGTCCCTGTCTCTCGGGAGCAATTAAACCATTATCGGAATGTGGTTGAAAATGTTCGAAGTGAACTCGCCGCAACTTTGGTCAAATTTGAATCCGCGCAGTCTGAGGTAAGATTGTGCCCCTTTATCATCAAAAAGTGGGTCTTTCTAGCTTCTGACAGGTGAAGTAGAGGATAGAGGATTAGGAGTGGGATAGTAGGATACAGATTGAAGCTTTTTGGCAAAATTTGCACTTCTTCTTTTCTGGTGGGCCCATCACCTAGAATTCCTGAAGGGTTGTGCATTTCCACACTGCAAAGCAAGGTGGCTTGGCCTGGCTTGAATCTCAGAWAACCCTGCAGCCTTAAGTGGCCAGAGGGCACCTGAGGACTTTGGGTTGAAGCTGCAAGGGTCTTGGGGAACTTTTAGCCTCTCTGGGAATATTATCCTTTACTGTGAATTGAATCTGAATTCCTTTCTTATGGAAGTTTTGATTGGCTGGGGAAATTCTAGTAAGACATTTGGGGTCCACCTGCCCTCTAGGCTAGATCAGGTCTACAGTAGAGCTTCGAGTCTCCCTAGACTCATTCTGCTCCTAGCCCAGTGTCTCTAGGAATCTAGGCTGGCCTGTGAGATAACAGGCAATCTCCCTGAGGCCGCCAGGACCCCCCTGAAAGATGTGTTGATACTGTGTGTGTGTGTGTGTGTGTGTGTGTGTGTGTGTGTGTGAGAGGGGGGGATGTGTGCAAGTTCACTTATAGTTCCAAAGAAATGCATTGCATTTATAAAATTTATCAAGTGTTCTTGTAGGAGAGACCTGACATCTTAACTTGGTAGGATATGTACATTGATCAGCATTTTGATGCCAGAGAGCTCATAAAACTCAAAATGTCCCCATTTCATATAAATACAATAAGGATTTTCCTTTGCTCTCATATTTTTTTTTTTGCAGAAATCTGAATGTTATTTTTTTCACCCACAATTCCAGAAGGCTAGTAGAAGAAATATAGTGATATATCAAATAGTCTGTATTTATTTGAGAAATAGTTGTGGCTGTGAAATCACAGAGTGTGGCTTGTAGGTTCCTTGAATCATTGTTTATCAGAAGCAAAAACAGCAATACTGGATATAGAAAATGGGTTACTGCTGCAAAATATATTTATTACTTTTTGTAATCCCATCACAAATGTTTCCTGAATGAGACGAAATCAACCTAAGTCATTGTTCCATTGGTTTTGAAAAAGACAGAACATAAAGCCCAATTATTAAAATATAATTTCCTACYTGAAATACAGATAGAAATATGAGAAAAAGAAATTAAACATGGATTAAGTCATGAATAACAGTATAAGATTTTAAATTATGGTTTTGGATTTCTAACTGGTACTTCAAATGGTATGCCATTAGATTGTTCTATCTTTTTTTTGTTGTTGTTGTTAGCTTCGAGACCTGCGCTCCAAGATGCTTTCTAAAGAAGTTTCCTGTCAAGAGCTGAAGGCTGAGATGGAGAATTACAAAGAAAACAATGCCAGAAAATCATCTCTCCTCACCTCTTTGAGGGACAGAGTTCAAGAGCTAGAAGAAGAATCAGCTGCACTTTCTGCTTCTAAAATCAGAACGGAACTCACAGCTCACGCTGCAATCAAGGAGAATCAGGAGTTAATGAAGAGAGTTGTGGAACTAGAGGAGAAATTACAGTAAGGATACTGCAATATRTTCTCTGTTTAGTGAGTGATCCATACTAGCTTTGGAGCAAGATATGTCTTTGAATAAACTTCAAATATTTTGTATTATCTGACCATGAAACTCAATTAAAAAAAACCCATATTATTAACCCCAGATATCTTTAGAGTCTTAAAAGCTTTTCCCTAGCTCTTTTCAAGTCTCATCAAGTGTCTCAACAAACACAAGACTGTCCTAAGCAGGGGTTTGTCCTATAGATGAAGCTTGCAAAAACACAGCATATGCAAAATGGGAAGATTTTCTCTAAGTAGAGGTTTAACCCTGAGGTGGCAGGCTAGTCTGCAGAGGGAGGCATTTACTCAGAAGCCAGTTATAAAAATCCTGGAGCGCAACACTGTAGCTCCTGTCCTCCTCCTCTCCCACTTCCTGCAAAACTTCTCCAGTCTTGTATGCCAGACCACCCAAACGTTCTTCAYTAGGTTTTATTACCAGTTTACACAGGACTCTTAAAAACCTAGATTTTTCCACCCTTGGTTTCATAAGGAGGTAATTATTAAGACAAAAGTGGGACCCAGTTGCTTCTAAAATATATTTAAAAAATTCTATACAGGACTCCAATGTCTTTATTAATAAAATGCGTGATGTTTATTTTGCTTGTCCCATTTAAAAAAATAAAGCAACACCCTAGCTCCTGTCCTCCTCCTCTCCCACTTCCTGCAAAACTTCTCCATGCTTGTACGCCATCATCACCATCTCCAAGTGCTCTCCTCTCTCCTAGAGCTGCTCCACAGAATCACTCGTGGAGACCACCAGTGTCTGCCCAGTGCAGGGTCAATGGTCAGCCTCACCTCGCTTGACCTGTCAGCAGCACACCAGTCACAGCCCGCTGTTCTGCTAGAGTCCCTTTCTTCTGTTGGTCTCCAGGACATTGAACATGACCGTTTCCATTCTTATCCTCTCAYGTGGTTTCTTCTGATTTCCTTCATCTCCTTGACTTCTAAATGTTGGAGTGCCTCGGGCTCRGTCTTCAAATCTCTTCTCATTTCTTTGTCATTTGGTGTCATGACTTTAAGCATGATCTAAGGGCTGGTGACACCCACATTTCTGTATCTAGCTTGAATCTCCTTCCACAACTCAAGACCCACCATCTTACCCACATCTTAGCACCTGGTCCATCAGGCACCTCAAACCTAATGCGTCTAAAACTCTGCTCTTGACGTTCCCACACAATCCTTCTGCACAAATTTCCTTATTTTCTTCAAGGATAATTCCATTCTTCTAGTGGATCAGGTCTAAAATCTTAATATCATCCTTGGTTCTATTTCTCTTTCATACTCATATTTGGTTCCTTAGCAAATCCCAATCCTGTCTACCTTCAAAGTGAACCTAAATTTTGACTGCTTCTGTAGTCACCCCAATAACTATTGAATATTGCATTAGACATTTGAAACATTAGCACCCCACTCCTGATATTAATTTCTGTCTTCGTTTGAGGTGCTATGAAAATACCATAGACTGGCTTACACAGCAGATATTTATTCCTTTGTAGTTCTGGAGGCTGAAAGTGTAGGGTCAAGGGCTGGACAGTTCATTCCCTGGTGAGAACCCATTTCCTGGTTTGCAGGTGAATGCCTTCTTGTGGTGGAGAGAGGGAGATTGGTTATTCCTTCATGTCTCTAATCTTATTACCTAATTACCTCCTCCAGGCCCTGCCTCCAAATTTGTCATATGGGCGACTAGGGCTCAATGTATTAATTCTGGGGGACATAAGCATTTAGTCCATAATAGTGGTTTGCTTGCTTCTGTCTACACCCCTGCAGCCAGGGTGATCCTGTTACAATACGAATTAGATCATGTCTGTCCTCAGCTCAGAGCTCTCTAGCGATTCCTTTTCTCACTGAGAACAAAGACATAGTAGTATTTTCTATATCCTAACAGACACATCCTAACCTGGTTGATTGCCTTTATCTCCTTTATTTATTTATTTTTTACCTTAGATAACTTTCCTTCCTTCCTTCCTTCCTTCCTTCCTTCCTTCCTTCCTTCCTTCCTTCCTTTCTCTCTCTCTCTTTCTTTTTCTTTTTTTGTTTCTGTTTCTTGAACTTGACAGGTGTGATCCTACCCCAGGGTCTTTGCAACTGCTAATCATTCTGCCTAGAAGGCTCTTTTCCAGATGTTACATGGCTGCTTCCTTTAGGCCTTCACTCAGAAGACTCCTTCCTACTGAAGCCTCCCAAAGTTCCACATCTGAAATTTTACCTGATCACAATATTTCTTACCACCTTTCCTGCTTCATCTTTTCTCTGCAGTCCTTTTATTACTTACTGTAGGTTTTGCATATATTAATATTATGATTATTGTCCATCTTTCCACTTTCCATGAGGGCAAGGGTTCTTATCTGTTTTGTTTACCTACTGTCCTTTAGCATCATGAATAGGGCCTGGTGCATAGTACATGATCAATAAATGTTTATTAAATGAACAATAAAATGATGTATACTTATTGTAAAGTGCCAAGAAGAAATTAAAAATTGCCTAAAACCTTATGGTTGTCAAAAAGCTATAATTAACAATTTCTGAACAGATTTTCAGATAGTTGTACCCACATGACATCATGTAATATACTATTTTTACTGAATAATATATTGTAGATATTTAAAAAAGTCATTATAATTTTTAAGAACCCATTTTATTCCATAGTCTGAAATATCTCAATTTATTCAACCAATTCCTTTTGCTTCCTGTAAACACTTAGATTAGCACCATTAAAAAAAAATTACTACAAACCAATATTAGAATAGGAAAGACAGTAAGATAAGTTGGACATAATTTTCCTATTTTCACATATGAATACATGACAAGGATAACTCCACATCATGTATAACCACAGAATGGGAAGTTATACTCTAAGTATGTATGATATGTCAAATTACATTCAACTATGATGTATTACTAAAAAGAACAAATTAAAAAAAATAAACCCAGCTGTAATGAATGTCCATGAGCATTCATATTTTCACATTTATGTGATTATGTTCTTAGGGTAACTTTAGGAGGGTAGGTCAGGTAAAATGAAAATAGATGTGGACRTAGTTTAGAGAGTAAGATTGAAATCTTGGGGTTAATATACAGGATTATATATGCAAATCGATAAGAATCACAGTATTCACTGTGCCTTTCACAAACCTGAAAGACTGAATAAATATTACCTTTCATATGCCCAAAATAAGAATTCAAAGATATATTGATGTTAGTTTTTTTATTGTTACATTTTTCCAAGTGAAAATACGATATACTTTTGAGTATATGCAATTACATGCTTTGTTAATCTTCAAATAGAGTGAAAAAATTGCAGTAAACACTCAACGTGGTGAAAAGGGAAAGCAATAATCATGTTCGTTGTCTAGGGTACTGAAAAAAATGGCACCAATTTACTGAAATGATTCTAATTTGCCTTTAATATGCATCTATTTTTTTCATGACCTCTAAGTCTTTAACATTTAAAGCATTAGAAATGGACCACACCATTTCAACAAACCTAACTGAAATTTGAAATAAAATATTCACAACAGGCTCCCAATCTCCTGATTTTTCTTGACTGGCCAATTACAACACTCTTCCCATACCCTAAAGATTCTGTGTGTGTGTGGAAACTAATCATGATCTTTTCTGGTGACTGACCACTTCTGTCCTCCAAGGGTGGCCCATTCCCCCCTCCCTAGGCGTATCTTATTACAGTTCTGCCTGGCTACGCCTGTGCCCCTATAGGCTACTTGAAAATGAAGTGAAGCTTGGTCTTCTAGAACCAATGCATTGGTGCTCTGCTTCTCTACAAGGTCCCAGTGGGGACCTGTGCTTGTGTGGGTTACGATCACACGTGGTAAAGAGTCCACTTGTGATCCAGAGGCCAGCCTCTGCTTCTGCAGATCCCAAAGGGTTGAGCGAAGGAGGCGGAATCCATTCCCCCAACTCCCGGCCCGTTACTAGGCCCGCGATGCCATGAGAATTTCTCTGCATTTGCAGAAATGCAAAGCATTGCTTCCAGAAATGYAAAGCATTGCTTCCAGGTTTCTCTGCCCCTCACAGGGCTTGGTTGACAGCAATGTGCATTGTATCCAGGGGCCTCTTTTGTGCTGAAAATAACAGTTATTTCCCACAGAGAGCTTCACTTCCGACTGGGTTTGATGAATGCTATCTTCTGTGGTGCTAAATCCTGACTTATTTGTTTTTTGCCTGATAGAAAATGTTCAAAGGAAAATGAGGAAAACAAGAAGCAAGTTTCAAAGCATAGCAGGAAACACGAAGAGTTTCTAATTCAACTTCATGATTCCTTGGATCCTGACAAGAGGAGCGAGAAGGCATCGGAAGAAGATTTGATTTTAAAGGTGTTGCAATGCAGACCAGAAAGACTGAAATTTAAGGGTCATTCTGACATGTGACATGAAAGGAGGTTCTGAGGTTGAGTCTGGACAGTGACGGGAGACCCGGACAGTAGCCCAAGTGTAGCATTAATTAAGTGTGTGACGTGGAACAAATCATAGCATCTCTGGGGCCTCAATTTAAAATTCTTCTTGCCATTATTTGGGATTAATTATTCTCCAAAAGGGATGAATTATGTTGTCTAAAATATATTTAGGTTTTCAAAAACAGTTAATTATTCATATTGATGATACATGTCAGGACCATATTTGTTYTCTTTTAGTTACACACACACACACATAAAACCAGATAGGTGTCATTTTGGGGGACTTACCGAGTATACATTTTAGATTAATTCAAAAGTACTTTTAAGTTTTTACATGAAAACCAAGCAATAAAAATATTACTTATTGGTAGATGACTGTTAAGATGGGAATTACTGATACTGACTGAATAATTCATTRTCTCATAGTGGTTCATTTGGGTATCTCAAGGTATTTGAGTGCTCCTGGTCTCGTTGCTYATTGAGAAACCCTTTGTTTCCTTGCATCCTGGCAGACTTCATCAGCCATTCTTAAAAGCCACCTTCCAGCTGTCTGTCAATCAGTTCCTCCGGTGTCCTCCCTGTAAGCTGTGAGAGGGTTCCACGATGCTTTAGCACGTATCCATTCGCCGATAGGTTTGGTAGCTAAGAATAGAGTCTGCCCAGCACCCTCATGGGCTCTGGATGGCCTTTTCCTTCTACTGTGACTGATGTGTGACCAGGAGCTATGCTGTAAAAGTGACCTTCACGCTGTGGTCTGGGGGGCTGACTTTTCAATCCCCGTCTGGGGAAAAGCAAAGGATTTCAGAAGTTTCTTCTTTGTGATACCCTTCCCTTCACCAAAGATCATCTCTAGGTGCTCATCTGGGTGCGTTAATCATTCCCTTTAATTTTCTGTATTCCTGATGCTTTGTCATCTGGGAGCTTGCTGACCCAGAACAGACTGCCCCTGCCCCCAGGGTCAGCTGATTCCTAGAGTTGGTAAAGGACTCCGTTGGGAGCTTGGCTTTCCCATGAAAACTAACCAGCCCAGAGCCCACTACCTAATCACCTCCTAAGTCTAGATAGTAATGGAACCTGTATTTCAAAACCAATAGTAGGACTCTGAAGTTTTAGCACCCCATCCTGAGTAGGAGCTCGCCTAGAAACACATCTCTGGCCAGATCAGGAAGTCTGGTGTCTTGAGCAAGATCACAGACTCACTAGGTGTTCCTCTGAGAAATGGGGCAAAATCTCTCCCACTTCAAAGCTATTGCTTTGCTTTCACATGCCCCTGTAAACACGTGTCACCAAACACTTCCAAGGATCTGTGGTGGAAAGGGAGTACTCCTAATAACTTATTTGGTATTCATTCATCCATTTTATCAGTCCTCGGTGAAAGATAGGCGAGGAACCACTCAAGGTGCTAGGAATGTGGTCGTGAGTGAGGCAAAGCTAATTCCAGGCTCTCTTAGAGCTTTCTTTGTCATGGGGTGATGATGGTGAGGAGGTAAATAAGTAAATATAGAATATTGTCCTACATGGCTGAAGGTGCAGTGAAGAAAAACACATCAGGATGGAAGGCTAGACAAAGCTGGTCAGCAGYCTGCGATGCTGGTTCAGGGAGACTGACGGAGGAATGGCCCTTGAAGTGGGGACTCTTGAAGGATGTTGGGGAATGAGCATGCAAATATGAGAAAAAGCGTTCAAGGGGGAGGAACAGCACTGAATTGGAAATGGTACTGTGTTGGCACAGTGCTGAGGCTAAAAGGTGTGGCACTTGCATGGCTGGGTGTGACTTGGAGGCTGGGCTTTCGCACCACCTATAGACATCCACCATAGGCTAATCCATCCCATAGGCTAATCCTAGCCCTGCATGAAATCAGAGTTTGAGGGTGTTAAGCAGAATTTTCCTAGGTGYATATTAGGAGGATACTTTTAAAAATAGTAGTCCTGTCTCCACTGYGTCTCCCCTGGTTCAGATGGTGCCTGGCGTGCAGTAGGTGTGAGCAGGTGGGCATTGAACGCAGCTCCTGGCTCCATTTCCTGCCGTGACCTCTGTGGAGCATCTCTGGCCTCCAGTGCTCAGAAGCCAGCGCCAGCCTCTGGCCACCAGTGTTCAGACGCCAGGGCTGATGCTTGCCCAGTGGACAAATTTTTGACTCACTCCTGACATCCTTGCCTTGTGACCATGTTTTGAATACTTTTAAATTGCCCCTGGGCCTGCATCTAATGGCCCAGTTAGAGGCTGCCTTTGGAAATGTGAGCTCTCGAGATCATTTAGAAATAACGTTTTTTACTGTTTTCCTATGATCACAAAGTCCTGGGGCCCAGGCTGGAGAGAGTGGGTGAGGTTGTGAATTTTCACGGGGGACGGCTGTAATTGCTTTCTCTTCAGCTTAGAGAGCTGTGCAAGGAGATGGCATTCGTGAAAGGACAAATTGTTACTCTTGAAGAGTCTCTAAATGTCCATGAGATGGAGGCAAAAGCTAACAGAGAGACGATTGTGAGGCTGGCTTCAGAAGTCAACAGAGAGCAGAGGAAAACTGCCTCCTGGAAGGAGGAGAAAGAGCAGCTGAACCAGGTAGGGCGCGCGAAGTGTGTGTGCGCATGTGGGACCGCGTTTAGGAAACAGAGACGGAAAAGCCATGTCAGATGAGGGCACCAGGGTCAGGGACCACGATTCCAACCTGCTCTCAGCAGGAGGTGTGGGGCGACGTGGGATTAAGTGACCCGAACAGGCCATTCGATATACATATATTTTTTCAGTTGGAAAAAAAGAAACAAAAAATACTTAAAAGTATAAAAGTAAAGACTCTGTAGAGAAGATGATTTATGTTAACTAGATGATAAGGATTTTTTAAAAATTTGTTTTGCTTTTTTGAACCAACAGAGAATACKTTTACAAGTCTAATGTCCCAAAAGATATTCAGTGAAAACCCTTTCCCTTTCCCCTCTGCCCAGTTCTCCTAGGGGGGAGGGAACTGGCTACAATTTCCTCTGTGTACTTCTGGAAATAATTCTATGCTCATGTAGGCATGCAACATGTAAGAGAAGATGTCTGTTATCTGTAACATGTAATATGCATTTATTTTAAAAAATGGCAATATGTTGCACAGTAATATCAAGAAGGCAATGATGAATGATTTTTATATAATTTTGCATGCTTCATGGATCATATAAAACAAAGTCCTAGAAGTAGACTTGCTCTGTCAAAGGATATGGGTATTGTAATTTTGAGAGATATCGACAAAAGGAAGTAATTTCCTATTCTAAATTTTTTTTTTACATAATAAATTGCTAGATCTTTTAAAATTAGCTATAATCTATTTGAGCAAGAGAATTAATACTACGTTTAACACCATATAACCCTTTAATTGTGATTTTTATGTTTTGTAATAAGAAACGAATTATTGGATGAATAATGACAATCTGCTTCCAAAAGCAGTAACGAGTGAGTGCAGTCAGTTAACACAAGTACACAGGAGGGCCAGGGGTGGTGGTGCATTCCTGTAATCCCAGCAGCTCAGGAGGCTGAGGTAGGAGGGTTGTAAGTTTGAGGCCAGCCTCAGTCACTTAGTAAGGCCTTAAGCAACTTAGTGAAGCCCTAAGTATCTTAGCGAGACCCTAAGTATCTTAGCGAGACCCTGTCTCAAAGTGAAAGATAAAAAGGGCTGGGGACKTGGCTCAGTAGTTAATCACCACTGGTTCAATAMCCAGTAACAAAAAAAGGCACAGAGGAGGAAATAAAATGGCCTTGGTAAAGAAGATGGAGTTTACAATGGAGTAATAAGTGGTGCCCCCAAAGAGTGTCCCCAGAAAGGGTGAAGACCCAGGCTGAAGAGGGTGTGACTTGGTCTGTGGGAGAGGGGGCCAGTTTCCTTGGGCCTTTCCTATCTGTAGTGACATTACTGCTGAGCAGAAGCGAGATGGGAAACTGAGGCGAGGCAGTGATCCCAGTAAAGATAGTAATTTCTAATTCACCCCCAATTCCATGCATCAGCAAGCCCTCTTACCATTGGTTTTCTTCTCTGACATTTCAACTAGGAACAAAAAGCCAAGACTCTGTCATTGTCAACATCTTAGTCAGCTTGAGTGGCCATCACAAAATATACAGAGTTGGTTGGCGATGTAGCTCCCAGGTATTGCACTTGCCTAGCTAGCATGCACAAGGCCCTGGGTTCGAGTCCTTGCACCACAAAAAAAAAAAAAAACCAAAAAAACAAAGCAAAGCAAAACAAAACAAAGCAAAGCACCACAAATTAGATTGCTTAACAACAATTTTTTATCTCTTGTAGTTTTGGAGGCTGGAAGTGCAAGATCAGGGTGCAGCCACAGTTAAGAAACTGTTGACATAACAGATATTTGTTGTTTCAAGGTTTCAAATTTTGGGCAAGTTCTGCACAGCAGTAAATAACCAWTAATCCTCTCAAATTACATTCAAACACTACATATATATTTGTAAGAATAAGTGCTATATAAGAATGTCTTTTATAGATTTTTTTCACCAAACTGGGATCGAATCTGGGTTTATTTATTGCATATTTGGAAATTTTTAGTTCCTTTTTAAAGTCCAGAGAAGCAATGTGATAGTTTCTTCATGATACCATTTGAATTGTTTCTCTACATCCTGAAATTGTATTATCTCAGAAGTAAGTTGTATATTTTSTATTATACCACACTAGAAAGAAAATGATGTTAGATATTCCTTTATTGGTAACATTTAGTRTGACTACAAATATMGTTAGTGTAATGGTACATTTTTTTCTTCTGCAGTTAAGTAAGATATCTGGGGTGTGTGTGACATTTATTAGTATGGAGCTTAACAACTTCACCAATGATATTAGCATCCATCAAATCTTGTTTGGAATAACTATTAGGTCAGGTTGGCAATGTGGTAGTATTCTAATTTTAGCATTTGTCCTATTAATTAGCTGCTATTTTTCTGTAAAGAAAATATTTCCTTCTTTTTCTTTTCAATTCTATGGATGCATGGATTTTTTTTTTATTGTGTTACACTCAATTATTCTTTTTTGTTTTTCTGAATTCTCCAAATTTGTCCAGCTCCTTGTGACCTTGACTCCTTTAGTGTGTGTGTGTGTGTGTGTGTGTGTGTGTGTGTGTGTGGCACCAGGGATTGTACCCAGGGGTACTAACCACTGAGCCGCATCCCCAGCCCCTTTTTTGTATTTTACTTAGAGTCAGGGTGTCACTGAGTTGCTTAGGGCCTCGCTTAGTTGCTGATGCTGGCTTTGAATTCATGATCCTCCTACCTAACTCAGCCTCCTGAGACACTGGGATTATAKGCATGCACCGCCATATCTGGCTTCCTTTAGTGTTTAACACTTCCATATTTTTAGAAAGAAGTTACCCCAGGGTCACTTGAAATTTTTAGTTCATAAACCCAAACCAGCCAATTTCCTAAGGAGCTCTGGTTCATTTTATCAGGGAATGGTGCTTAGAAACCAACAGTGATGCTTTAAGTGTGCTCATTTATTGAACATTTACAYGGTCCTTGTGCTAAGTGCTCCGTGAGGCTATGCACTCGATCAGGTTCACATGGCCGTCACATGGCAAAGCTGGGACTGGAGCCCAGATTATCACATCACTGTCTCCGTCCATAAATCCCCTTTACACTGATGGTCACAGTTACGTCTTACGTATGAGTTTGACAGAAGACATTATTTATCAGTAAGAGGAACAACAATGTTAGCAGCTATGAAAATTTCCTCAGTGAGTAATTTCTAATTCAATTATAATAGTAGTTATTAAATTATCAAGTCTTGAAAATTAGAAAGAATGTAATCTTTTATCTGTAAAATGCATCTCTGGAGTTTTAGGAGTAGGAAATAAGAAAATGTGTTGTTAAAAAAAAAAACAGAACTAATTCCTTTTCTTACATAAGTGTCTTTACTGGGAAACGACTGAGACAATGTTGTTCAGACTTTGGGAACACATTCACTTTGGCTTGAGGTTCCTGCCAAAATAATAAAAATTGTAAAATAAAAATACAGGCAATAAAAAACTTGAGGTCTTTATAATAAAGTGCTCATTCAYAGGATTATGACTCCAAAGATTTACTACTGAAAAACACAGTCAAGTGGTTCTACTGACAAGTTAATGGCCTCAGGAAGAGTCTTCCTAGTGCTTTCTAAAGCTCTGTTTTGGAGATAGGAAACTTGTTTTATTAGTGAAGTCCAGCTGTACTGCAGAGCTAGAAGTATCCACAGGGCTGGGGTGCTGTTTCTACAAACTCAACTTTTCTGATACGCTTCAAGACTCTACTTAAGTTACTTTATGAAAAGTTTGCATAAAAATCGGAGCAATTTCTCATAGATATGATGAATATCTTATATACAAATCTTTAATAGTTAATATTTTTGCTTTTTTTTGGTGCTGGGAATTAAATTCAGGACCTCATTTTTCAACCATTGAGCTACACTCCACACATTGAAGTATGTTTTATAAACTATCAAAGGTTGATATCTTTTCTCTTGATTATCTTAAAGAAAAAAATCCAACTTTGAGAAAAGTAGTCACTTTCCCTGCCCAAGTCTACACAGTCATACACACATTTCTTATAGACTAATAGAAGTTAAAATTAAYGGACTGGAAATTAGGCCTACACRTTGCATATCAAACAACTCCTTTTCTTCAAATTTMTTATATAAAATATAGTAGTATTTGTATATCACCTACTCATATCCTCCTGTGGACTTTAAAGCAGCTCTAGTGTACTTGAAATGCCTAATAGAATGTAAAAGCAGAGTGGTCATACTATATTATTTAGGGAATAATGACAAGAAAAAGGTCAGTATGTGTTTAGTATAGATGCAGGGTTTTTTTCCCCTTGAATATTTCTGACTTGAAGTTGGTTGAATGCATGGGTGTGGAGGCTGTAGATGGACAGGGCCGACTGTTAACATACAGTACTCAGCACATGTCTGGTACATGATTTATACTCAGTATTTCTATTTCTCTTTCCCAGTTATTTAGTTTTATCCAGAGTTTAAAATAAATGTGGGATTGTTTGAAGACTGCAGGCCTATGGAAATGTCCCTGGAATTGACTAGACAGGATATGTTACTAAGGAAATTAAGGGTCTCTTTACTCTTCTAGAATCATAATGTTGGAAGTGACTGTCAAGCCATTTAGAATCTAGACTGACTCTAGATAATAAGAATTGTCYTCATTAATTTATTCTGATTAATTAACTAACTGATGAATGAGCTAACGTTAATTTTGCTGTTCTGGGGATKGAACCCAGGGCCTCACATACTCTAAGCAAGGTGTCTAAAAAATCATTTTAAAAATCTCTCTGACCAGCTGGAGTCCAGCCCTTCCTTGAACTCCACGGGCCAGGAGTTCACCACCCTTCCCTGAGGGCCAGCTCATCCTGTCAGTTCTCACTGTCTGGCTGTTGGGATTGGAATCCCTGTACTTCAGATCTTCATCCTGGTTCTGTCTTACTTCACAGAGGAAACGGACATCCCTCCTTATGGCCACCTTCAAGCACTTAAAAGCATTTGCCMTGGATTTTCCAGTCACTTCTGGTTRAACAGCCCCATATCCTCCCAATTCTTC